CCCTGGAAGCGATGTCCGCCTGCTCATGTGTGCGGCCTTAAAATCCCTGTGTGGTGGCGGCGTGCCGTCCTCCCATCCCTCCCTTGGTTTCTCAGTTTTTCTTTCTTTCTTTCTTTCTTTCTTTCTGTTGAATCTTTTTTGTAAAATTCTTTCTTCCTGCGGGGGAGGCTCGCATCTCGTCGCGAGCTGCCACATCCCAGCTGGGGTGGAGCGGCTCAGACTAGCGCGCTTCACAGCAGCGGAAAATCGCGCACCGCAGCAACCAGCAATATATGCCTAAGACAACCACAAGGCAAGGTGAGGTAAGTTTCTCCACGCGCACAACAACGGTGAGGCGAGGGGGGTTGGCCTCCATGCGCACGTTCCCGTTCCGCACGTTCGGCGCCTCGCTCTCCGGGATGCGGACCTGGGGGGGAAACCAATTTTGCGCGGGCCAGCCGACGGGCTAGTTCAGTTTTAATTCAGCCATTTTGGGCGTCTGAGCACTATTTAGGGTCAGGCGCTGCCCCTGGCTGTCTTTGCAAGAACCGCAGCAGCGGTGATTGAACCGTCCGCGGTTCGAGCCGGGAGCTTTTGGCTCCCAGTTCGAACTCGCGTGGGAGCCGGTAGCGACGCCCGACGCGGGCGCGCGCGCGGCTGCAAGGCGAGGCGAGGCGCAGGCGCAGGCGCAGGCGCAGGCGCGGGCGAGGCGGGCGGCGGCGGCGCGCGATCGTTGCTTTTGCTCGGGTGAGGCGTGGCGAGCGCGTCGCGCGGTGAAGACGGCGCGCACGCTGAAAAGTTCTTGGTGACCCACCGCGCGGTGCCGGTGGCAGTGAGCCAGAGCATAGAGCAAGCGACCTGCCGCATGACGCTTGACAGGTAGACTCGAAAAAGAAATTTTCTCCGAAACGCAAGCAAATGTCGGCAGCATTGCTGATGAGCAGCCTCGTCATACACAGCCTTTATTGCCGCGGTGCGCCATTCCATCCGTGGCCACTCACAGCGGGAGGACGGCCACTAGCGGGCCGACGCGGGCACGTCACGCCGTGACAAGTTGTGTGCTATGCAGCGAACACGCGTGCATCACCGTCGCGGAAGCCGAGCGCCTTGCGACGGTGGGAGAGGGCGCGGTAAGCTAGGGGCGCGGCCCGGGTCTGCGCGAGTTGGCCTCCGCGTCTGTGTCTCGGGCGTGGCTCTTGGTTGGGGTGCGTGGGGTGGGTGGGGGTGCGCATGGGGGCTTTTCCCGCACCTGCATGGCGCGTTGCTCTAGGTGCGACCTGTTGAAGCAGCCGTCGTCG